GCTGGATAATCCAAAATAATTCCTTCTTGGCAGGCGGCCGGCGGGGGAGGGGGGACTCACATTCCAAACCCTGTTTTTCTCAGTAACTTCCCTCTGCTCTTGGGGCTAGGAGCCCCTGGCCAGACATCAGGCCTCCCTGACCTTGTGGTGGGGTTTGAGAGGTGGGGGGGGTGGGTGTGTGTGGCTCAGAACTGCCAGCCCACCTGCTTGTTCCTCAGTCTGGTCTAGTGATTTCTGTGCAACTTGCTAGAGCTGACTGACCCCCACCTTTCTGGGAATCTTCTCCTCTGGACCAGGGAAGGAGGACTCCTCTCACCACAGTCTGCCTTTCCGGGTTGGTTCTCCCTGGGTGCCAGGGTACTATCTGGGGGTGCGGTCAGCTGAGAGCCCCCATCTCTGGGCAGACCCAATCTTCCACTCCTACAGTAGGTTGTGTGTGTATGTGTGTGGGGGGAATTTCTGAAGAGGCTCAGCTTTAAAGCCCTCAGCACACGGGCTGGGCTGAAGTTGGAAATCAAAGGAGACTTCCCCAGGGCAAGTTGAGAGCCCAGAGAATCCCCCTGGCCCCATAAGTTCCATCAGCTTTGGGGCCTAGCCTCATCCTCAGTCCCCAGTCCTGCCACTACCATGGTGGCCACAGACAGAACCCTTCCTTCCTTCTCCCAGGAGCTGGAAGAGGAGCCAAGTGACGTGGCAGGAAGCTCCAGGGCTCTTGAGCTCAGAGACCCCAGAGAAAGGACACAGGACCCCCCAAATTTGCCAAACAGCCTGACCACGAAGGAGGGAGGGACGGCCCATCCATAAGGGTCCCCTTCAGGAGAAGGGCCAACAGTGGGGCAAGGCCTGAGTGCTGAACACCCTCCCCAAGTTCTAAGACTTCTTGGGTCCCTGGTGTCCACCCAAACACCACGCCAGGAGGGGCGGAGGAGACCCTACTAGGAGGCGTGGGGCCTCGCGAAGTGCTGGATGTTGCTTCCTCCGCCGCGGGTCCCCTCCACCCTGGAACCCTGTCCCTGGGGGCTGGAGGCCTTGCAGAGGCCTGACCGTGGGTCCAGCTCCTGAGGAAAGCCCGGCAGAGCCAGGTGTCGGCGCAGGTTTAGCGGGGGCTGGGGCCGCGGAGGTTTCGCACTACCGACGCGATCTGCCTGCCTCTGGTGCAAGGATCTCGGCGACTGAGTGGGGGCATGGGCAGAGAGGGAGGGTCGGAAACTAGATCGGCTCAGACGCGGCTCCAGAGACTGCGGAGCCCCCGCCCGGCCCAGCCAGTCTCCCAACGCCGCAGGCCTCGTCCGCCGCCCGGAGGCGCGTGGGGCGGGGCAGCCGGCCCCGGCCCGACCGGCGGCGGCGCAGGCCCGCGGCGCCCTCCTCTGAGCGGCAGTGCCTCGGATCCCCGAGCCCGGGCGCGGCAGGCCACAGCAGGGCAGCGCTGACGCGAAGCCCCGGCCCCAGTGCTACTCCCCACGCGCGGTACCTGCACGTCCGCCGACGAGGCGGCCCTGTCCCCAAGCGCGGTACCTGCAGGCCCTGTCCCCAAGCGCGGTACCTGCACGTCCGCCGACGAGGCTCGATGGCGCCCGGGCCGCGCTCTGCGCAGCGCTCCGGACCGCGCGGCTGCCATGGAGACGGGCCTTTGTGTGGCCGAGGAGGGGCCGGAGCGCGCGGGAGCCGCGGGCCCCGCCCCCGCCGGGGAGAAGAGAGGGAGGACCGGGAGAGGGGGAGGGGTGGGGGAGGGACGGGGCGGTTGGTGGAAGGGGAGGGGAGGGCGGGGCGGGGCGGGGCTGGCCGGCTCTCCCCGTGCGCCCCCGGTGCGCCCCTGCCTCCGGGCTCAGCGGCTACTCGCGCAGGACGAGTTTGCGTGGGGTTTGCGCCGGGCAGCACCCTGCCTGACCTGCCGCCGTCCCAGGACTACTGGCTCCCGTAGAGTCTCCTGGGCCAGGGCACCTTCTCCGGAACGCCCCGGTCCACTGGTGGTAAGCCTCTGGCTTAGCACTAAGGGGGTACCCCGTGCATGCCAGAGGTCCCCAAGCGTTCTGAGATGAGCAGGCAGCAGCAGCCCCATCCCCAAAAGGGAACAGGCCGGTTCCATCCCGCCGTTTTGGGTGAGGGCTGCCTGACCTTGACCCTGTGCCGGGACCCACAGCAGCCCAACCTCCTAGGGAGAGAGGGCACTTGGGAAAGTCTCAAAACTCACTCAGGGCCCTTCATCTGCCTCTTTTCCAGGACAGTAAGAGGGACAGAAACTCTTCCTGAGGGTCCCATTTTGGGGATGGAGCTGGCCCCAATTCCAGCCTCTTGAGCGCCCCATGCCCTAGTCCTGATGCTCCTGGGATTCTCTAGATTTAAAAGGTGGAGATCTAATTCGGACCCTCCAGTTGCAGATAGGATTTGGGGCCTAAACCTACTCTGGCTCCACTCTGTGACATCCTTTCTCTGAGGACTTCTCAACCTTGCAGATGATTTACTTCCTCTTCTCTCTTCCTCAGGCATCTCCTCCTCCAGTGCTCCCCCACCCTGGCACCTGCCCCAATACTCAGCCTCCCCCAGCTAGATAAAACCATTGCAGATCTGATTGGGAACCTGTCAATCATTAGTTCTTTCAGTTTGTCTGTCTTCCCTCAGTCCCAAGCCGCCAGGCCCTGACCCTGTCCAGCACACTCCTTCTCTAACTGGGTCCTGAACAACAGCAGCTGTCACGACAGCCAAACACCCCCCACCAGAGTACTCCAAAATTACGAGGGTCTAATAGGGCTGCAAACTTTTTATTAAAAAAAAAAAGATAAGCACTATCACATTTTAATCCAAAGATGTTGGAAGGCCACTATCCCAGATTAAAGGAGTCTTGAAATAGAATACAGGAAGCTGGAGGGTAAAAAGCCACCCTTCCTGTCTGCCCCTGGAGCAGCTCTGCAGCGTGACTTCCCTCAGCCCTCCCTGACCCCCACAGGCCTGCTCAGAGCCCTCTCCAATTTGGGGGGCTGGAACCCCTACCTCTCTGTAGACCTTCCTCTACCTCCAGGGTATACCTTTGGCCTGGCTTGGAGGCAGGGCAGGTCCAGGACACTGCTTGGGACAGAGGCCAAGCCATTTAGAGCTCAGCCATCCTGGGAGAGCAGGAGGCAGCAACAGGATGGAGCTGGCAGAAGGACCCAGCTGAAGCCACGGTTTTAGGTTGTGTGTGTGGGATACTGGGGATGAAGCCAGGCCATCATGCTGCTAGGAAAGTGCTCTACCACTGAATTACATTCTGAGCTCATTTTTAAAAAATTTTATTTTGAGACAGGGTCTAAGTTGCTGGGGCTGGCCTCCAACTTGTGATCCTCCTGCCTCAGCCTCCTGAGTAGCTGGAATGAAAGGCATGTGCCACTGCACCTGGCTTTGCAGTGTGCCCTTCAACAGAACCTCTATCGTCTGCTCAGCCCCGTCTTGTGGAGGTCAGCGTTGCAGCTGGCCACACAGGAAGGCACCAGCACCTCGGAAAAACCCTAGAGACCAGGCTCTCAGTAGGGAGCTGGCATACCCAAGCCAGATAGTTGGGGGTACTGCCTGGGGCTGCACTAGGAGTTGGTGTCACCCTTCTTCACTCTGGGGTCTTCACCTCCACACACCCAAACTCTTGTTGCCAACATTCATCTCCTCTGACCCTGCACTGGAGTGACCTAGCTCATCTGCCCGTCATCACCCATCCTGTGTTTCAGTTTTCTCATCTGTAAAATGGGCACAGCAGCTGTGGTCGGGGGTGGATGTCTGTGCAAATACTGCTGGCACTCACGAACACTGGACCAGCACCTTGGCATGTGGGGACTTGGCTAAGCCCAGCATGGAAAGCTAGGCAGCACTCAACCTACCCTGGCTTCATAGGAGGATGTGAGCCAGGATTCCTTACAGTTGAGTTGCCTGGGGCCTCAGAAGAGAAGCAAAATCCCCTCCCCCAGCCCAACACCTACCTGCCTGTTCCACCAGTGCCCCTTTCAGGCCTCCCAGGGCCAGAGCCCAGTCTCTGTGGACAGGGCCTTCCAGCAGCTCCCCTGTGAGGCATCTACATCGTCTAGTTTCAGTGTCTTCAGATAAGGACACTGAAGTTCTGAGTGGTCAGGAGACCCACCCATAGGCTCCCAGTAGGTGATTCTCAACTGAGACTTGGCTGCAGTTCTGGGTCCACACCTCAGTGCATGTCCTCCCATGGTCCCTGATGGTGCTGCTACCCTGTGCTGAGTGGTGAGACACTGTTCCTCACCGGACCCAGGTCTGGTGGTGGTGAATGAAGGGAACACCCACACCCAAAGGTGGCACCTCAGAAATGGTACCCTCACTCCTGCCACAGAGATCAGCTGTACCCCAAGGCTGTGGGAGCTGGTCAGGATGCTCCATGGCAGGGGTGGACACAAGGGGACAGCCAGGCAGGCCACTGGCAGGTGCCTGTATGGAGAGCATGGAAATGGTACTCACTGGGATAGGTCTTGTTTCTTGCCTTTGAGGTGCTGGGGATAGAACCCAGGGCCTCACGCGTGCTAGGCAGGTGCTCTTACTGAACTACTGCCCAGCCCCCCGTGGGGTGCTTCAAGAGAGGGAGCCAGGGCCATGCCAGGAGAGCCTTTCCCAGCAGCCCTGCTGGGCCCTCACACTTCCCTTGATTTCCCCCACCCCAATAAACCACAGCCCCAGACAGGCAGGGGACAGGTCCTCACATGGCAAAGTAACCTCTGCCCTCAAGAGCCTGACTGTGGACCAGGTGCCCTTCTTGTCCCCAGGCAAGGCAGGGGTGGGCAGATGGTGAGGGGAGAGGCCTACCCCCTTCCTAGGCAGGGCGGCCTGCTGAGGCTAAAGGACACCTCAAACATGGAGTGTGGGCAGATGGGCGCCAGGAGGGGTGGGCAGTGGGTGCGCCCAAAGCTCAGTCCCCTCCCACTTCCCTCTGGCTGTAGCCCATGGAGGGCAGGTGGGGCCCAGGAGGGGGGCAAGGTTTTGCCAGCACACAATCCCCCAACAGTCAGGGACCAGGCTGTGGTTCCAAATGTCACGTTTACTGCTGGGACAAAGGTGGTGAAAGTAGGGGGGGCCACAGCCTGGGAAGGGGCAAAGGCTGGGAGCTCAGGCTTGGCGGAAGGTCACCCCAGGGTGGAGGGGCTTGGCAGACAGGTTCCAGGGACTGCACACCTTGCCCCACCCTAGGGAGGGCACAGGACAGCCTGCAGATCCTTGGGCAGGGAGCCGATGACCGTCTCAATGTACAGTTGTGCCCGCTGCAACGTCACCTCCTTCACTGGCAGCTGGTGGCTTTGTGCCCGCACCTGCAAGGGCAATGGTTGTCAGGTGCAGATGTAACCCTCCTGCTGGACAGGTGGTGGCTGGGCAGGACAGGATGATGTCTCACCAGCTTCTCCCGAAGTTTCAGGACCAGGTCTACCACTTCTACCTCCGACTTGTCCTGCATCCAGGTCTCGATGTTCTGACAGGGGCATTTGGGGTTCTCTGTCACTGAGGCCCCCTCTCTGTCTGGGATTGGACCCACCCTCTCACCCCTGGTCCTCCCTCACCGCCTCACAAATCGCCTCCAGGTGCAGTGCTTCCAATCTCTGGGCCATCTCTTTGTGCCGCTGCCGGTACCAGCCGTCAAAATGGGGTGACTTAAAAAATCGCCTGTGGGTGGCAAGTAGCAGCAGCTGTGGGGTTGTTCCAGTGTGCCAAGGGTGGCCATGGGCAGCCTGTGTCCACCATCTACCAACCTGTAGAGGCCCAGCCAGTCGCCCTTGAGAATGCAGGTGAGCTGGGGTCCTGCATGCTCCAGGCTCTGCAGGAAGTCCTCCTGATGGAAGGGGCGGATCTGGGGAGGGGTCTGAGACGGGGGCCAGGTGAGCTCGGTGCTTGGGGAGCACAGCCCCACAGGTCCTGCATGTTGGGGGCTGGGAACCTCCTCACAGGACTTGTCAGATCCCTGGATGGCCCTTCCCAGGCAGAAGCCCCTCCAGGGCTTGTCAGACCCCTTTCTTGTGGCCTCCCCATTTCTCTGCCCTGTGAGGGACCCCTGGTGACTTGTGCACTACCTCCCTCCCCACCTCTGCTCCATGTAGACGTCCACCCCACCCTTCACTTCTCTGAGATGGGGACAAAATCCACCATTCCCAGAACCCTCTGGACCCCACCTTCCAGGGTGTGATGCTCTTCTGCAGTGGCATGAGGCTGGCCATGTAATGCTCCTGTGGGTGGGAGGGGAGTGAGCCTGGGGTCATAGCCCTCTGCCGCCCTCCCCTCCTGTCCAGGCCTCACCAGGGGGATGATGAAGCTCTGCGTGAGCTCCAGGAGGTGCCGCCTCAGCAGGGCACTCTGCATGTCCCACGGCCGCTTCTTTTGCACACCCTGCAGGAAGGAGTCCGGGGCTGAGCCCCAAAGCAGACTGAGCCCACATGGCCCTCCATAGCACACCAGTACCCTACATCCAGTGCCTCCCAGCAACCCGCACCTTGAGCAGCCGTTTGAGCAGCGCCTTGTCCCGGTGCAGGTGGGCTGTGTAGGAGGTGTAGAGGCCTGGTAGGAGGAGAGAGCTGGGCTGTCCTTCTGTCCTTCAGGGACCCCCCCACACACTCCTGCAGCCCCTGCACACCCCACCCCAGCCCATCCCAGACACTACACGGTCACAGAGGAGAATATTCTCCCACCTCACCCCGTGAAGCCTCTGAGTGGAAGGAGAGGAGGGAGACCCGCCAAGGGCAAAACGGGACCCTCAGCAGCAGAGGGACCCCAGCCGGGCACAGACCTGGCTTAGTGTCAACAGTCTTCAGTCTGGAGGGCTTCTTCAGCTTGACCTGCTTAGGAAGGTCCCCTGCGAGACATGTGCAGTGGCCAGGCCTCAGTGCCCAGAGCTCTGACTACTCGCAGGCCCAGAGGTCATAGGGTTCAGACCCCTGCAAGTCCCAACCTGGGTGAGGCTTCCGAGTTCCCTACCTGGACCTCCCCAGGACCCCTCACCTGACATCCTGGGCTCCCCAATTCGAAGTACATGGGGCCAGTGCTGGAGTGTTTTGATAAAGAAAGGGTTTGTGACTCCCAGGACCACGTTTGGTCTAGAGAGAGAGAGAGGGAGAGAGGGAGAGAGAAGAGGCAGAGAAAGGTCCAGGGACGGTGGCCAGGGCAGGTGGGGAGGACGCGCACTTACGGGGCCTGGGTGCGTGTGGTGAGCTCCTTGAACTCACTGTCATGGATGGTGAAGTAGGGGCGGAAGTCACAGCAGAACTTGAGGGGCTGTAGGCAGCTACAGGACAGGGACAGCAGAAATCAAGTGAGGGGGACAGCCTGGCCCAGCCGGGATGGTCCAGTGCATGAGGTTCATACCTGGTCAGGGCCAGCACCATCTCTGAGGACACGTCAGGTGAAGGCGCCAGGACCACCAGGGGCTCCCCAAGAAGCATGAGCTCCCACAGCATCTGCACATGGGTCAGCACGGGCTGAAAGCACCTGGTGCCACGCAGCAACAGTTGGGGAGGTCAGGCAGAGGGCCGAGGTTCCCTGACCCCTGCTCCCCTGCCATTTCCCCTGTGGGCTGGGTAGCTCTCTGCTGCACACCATGGACTGAGCTCAAGCTCTGGTGAACATAGGGCCCTACCCCAGTGGCAAGATGGTGGGTAGGGACATGTGAAGATATAAGAGTGTGTCTTGGGCTAGCAGGGCCACCCCCTGTTCTAACATACCAAACTAAGTCTGGCTCTGGGAATGGGGAACTCAACCTAGACTCTGTCTGAGGGGCTGGCAATCCTGTAGCAGCCCTGAGACCCAAGTAGGGGCTACCCACCCAGATTCTGCAGCCCCGATTCCTGCTGGGCCAACTAGGGGCAGGACAGTCTCAAAACCCAGATCTAGACTTGCTTAGAGAGGCAGAGAGGGGTTTCCTCAGGCAGCAAGTGTCTCCCAAAAGCCTCTCTGGGCACCTGCCTTCTAGAACCTTCCTGTCTACCATGCCCATTTCCTGTGGGCACAGGTTTCTTCTTCTGCACAAGTCTTCTCTTGCAGAACTGTCCAAAGGGTCGCTCAAGATGGGCAGTCCTCACCTTGGGCAGCAGCACGTAGCACCCCACAGGGCTCACCTGAACAGGTCTAATTCATGGACACTGGAAAGGACCACTGGGGCGGGCAGCAGGTTCTAAGAAGTGGAGGGGAGGGTGGTCAAGGCTGAGGTCGAACCTTACACTGGAGGAGAGCCCTCAGCCCCCGCCCTGTGACTGTGGCCTCTGTGGCGACAAGACCAGGAAAAGCATGTGCTCCACCCTCTGCCTGGGGTCGGCCACCCACAAGGTGGGCTGGGAGGTCACAGTATCGCCTGGCCTGGGAGCAGGCTTCAACAAAGCCCAGGTCCCCCAGACCCAGCCCCCACCTCTTGGTCACACGGCTTTGGAGGCTTGGACTCCAGCTTGTCCCCCCGGGATGGGATGTGCACCTAGGGAGGAAGGGAGAGGCTGCCTGAGCGAGCAAGCGAATCCATGCACCTCTGGCCCTCACTCTTCAACTGATCCTCACCTGGATGACGACTCCCATGACAGGTAGGTTCAGGGTCTGCCCAGGCACGGGGGCTGGCCATTGGTCAATCTCATTACAAACTGTGGACATAGGTGACCAATGTCAGGAGCTCTCCCCAAGGAGAAGTTTTGTGCTCAGGCCCACAAGGGGCTGCAGTTGGGATGAGGAGACTGTGTTGATGTGCCTGATGGTCACTCACCTGCTTCCAGGCAGGGTGCCAATTTGTCAAAATATTCAGGGGCAATTAGGCTCAGCAGCGACTGGAACAGCCGGACAAAAGGCAGGCGGGACACCAATACCAAAGACTGTAGTGACATAGGGTATCAGATGATGTCCCTCTCCAGACACCACCCCAGCTACTTAGGGCCCTATGGGACCCTAAAGCCAGGCTTACCCAGAGTTGGCCCGGGGTAGCACATCCCAATTCATAGGACAGCTGCCCTGGAATGGCCAGATTCAGACCCCAGGATTATTAGGGAAAACCCAATGCCTCCCAAATAGAGTGGAGAAACCCCCCAGACGACAGCTGGGTGGGGCAGGAGTCCAGCCCTTCAGAGGGAAATGAGAAGTGACCAAGAGTTCAGGAATGACCTCCCCAGGGGCCAAGCAGCTTTTGCCTCAGTGCCTGAATTCAGAACTGAAGCTGTCTTAACCCTGAGAGTGAGATGGGCCAGTGGACGATGAGGAACAGGGATGTCCTGGGCCTGGAGACAGATGGCAAGGAAGGGGCTACAGAGGAATGAAGCTCCTAGAGGACTGGGACTCCTGTTCCACGCCATAGCCTTCTCTGCTGCTTGCCAGTCTCCCCTCTACATGGACCACCCCAGAGTGGCCGGCAGCTCACCTTCTGGAAGTAGCCCCTCCTCACAGAGCTGTCCTTCACCTGCCTGAAGTACACGTAGCCAAGGTAGTGTGCTGGCTCCCTCTGGAAGGAGCATGGTGTGAGCCAGGCCCCACCCAGGCCAGCTGTCTAGGCCAGGGACAAGGATGGCAAGAAACAGGACAGGGAGGCAGGGAGGAAGGGAGCTGAGGATTCAGGGCTCCTGCAGGGGCTGTCCCTGCACTCTGGGGCCGGCTACCAAAGTGGAAGCCTTCCAGGGCCAGGGCTGGGGTTTGTTGGGTCCAAAGTAGACAACACCACTCCAGGGAACATATCAGCTGACACAGAAGCTCAGGGGCCTGCACACCTCTGCTCACTGAGTCATGCACTGTTCCACCCCAGCCCTGCCCCCCAGTATGCAAAGAAGGTGCTCCAGGGACTCCCGTGAGTCCCCAGAAGAGCTGGCCCACCCCCAGTGGAGGCTGGGACCTGGGCTTGCAGAATAAGCAGAGCTTGTAGCAGTTAATGACCCGACAGAAGGGCCTGCTTGGGTCAGCTAGGGTCCCCTGGAAAGGAAGGGAGGAGCAGACTAGAGGCAGCCCCCTGCTCACCTGCAGTGCCACGGGGGCTCCACCATTGTAGGGTCTGTCGTCTGCATGCCAGGGGCTCCTCTGCCCTCCACACTGGCGCATCCGGAAGCTGAACTGAGTGTCCCCAAGGCAGCCTGCGAAGGGGCAGCCCCACCCACGCAGGTCAGGGTTGGAGCCTCTCCTACTATCTCATAGGGGTGGGGACCAGGGACCAGAGCCCTGCATGGTGTGAGCCAGGCCCCACCTAGGCCAGCTGTCCCCTGTTGGCACAAATGCCCTGGAGGGGAAGCTCAGCTCGAGGGATCTGTTTCCCAGTGGACCCCTGTCCTGATTCCTGCACACCCCTCACCTAAAGGTCTTGTGACAAACTTAGTACAGAGAAGAACCTTCAGTTTCCAGGTGGGAGGCTGGTTCAGCCTGCCTGCAACATACCAGGCACCAGACAAGGGCCTCAGGTGGAGACCAGAGTGCTGGTGCCTCTGCCCAGACACATCTTTCTATGAGAATGTGAAGAAGCTGGCTGCTGGCTCAGCATGGGCTTGGATGTCTCCACTGGGTGGGGATCAGGGGGTGTGACCCATCACTGCAGCACCCCATGTTCTTACTGGCAGCCTTGATGCCTCTGGCCTGGGCCCCATCAGCCCCCTTCTTGCCCGTCTCTTCCCCTTTCCAGAGCTAGGGTCCAACCCAGGAAGGGTGGGGCCACCTACCTGAGTGGGAGTCAGGAAATGACAGGTAGCAGATGCTGCTTTTCTGAAACACAGAGTCTGGTGAGTGAGAGCTGGCTCATTCCTGGGGGATGTCCACTCCCAAGACGGCCAGGACCTACCTCCTTGTCTGTGAGCTGGAAGTCACTGGGGTACACCAGCTGCAGGGGAAGACAGAGCACTGTGTGGCACCACTGACAGCAGCTGAAGTGGTGTGGCCAGCTCTTCTTCTGGACCTCTTCTGCCTTCCAGGGTCCCTCTCCCTCTCAGTGCACTGTCTTCGCTGACCTAGACCCTCCCAGCTCCTTACCCCTTCCCTGACCTCCAGGTTCAGCACACTCCCCTTTCCGCTTAGGCTTCTCACTGTCTACTTCCTGGGCCTCTTAGCACAAGGCCAGAACAACTGGATTGACTTTCTTACTCCTTTGCCCATGGCCACCTGGCCAAGCCTCACCACCTCCTGTTCAGACTGTGGTGGGGCCTCTCTGCCTCTTCCAGCCTGGACAGCTGGCTTTCCATAGCATCAAGAGGGCAGCTTTGGAGCTCACTTCCCTAGAGCTAACTTGCTAGGCTTCCACTCCCTCACCACTGCCCCAAGCCAGTGTCTCAGGCCTCACAGCCTGCCACCTCCTCTTGGGTTGCTCAGAAGTCACCTGATGCAGCAGGAACCCACTCCGTGATGGCAGCTTCCTGCTAGGCATTCTCTACCCATGCAACTGTCTTCACTGGCTCTCCCCAACCTGGGCTTGTGCCCCACCTATAAGTGATCATCTGGACAAGCCTTATCCTCAGAGAATGGATGGGCTAAATAAGCTTTGAATGTTCTAGAGACAGGGTATGCCCTGGAGGCAGCAGGCTGTGCAGGTATAGTCAGGAGCCAGGTCCAGCAGCTGAGGCACTGGCAAGGGTCAGAGTAAGGGTTAGGGTCAGGGTCAGCTGCTGTCAGTGGTGCCACACAGTGCTCTGTCTTTCCCTGCAGTAAGTTTAAGCATCCCGTAGGATTCTTAAAAGTTAGGGGCCCTAACTGGGTTCAGTAGTACATCCCTGTAATGCCAGCTCCTCAGGAGGCTGAGACAGGAGGATCAGAGGCCAGGCTGGGCATCTTAGTGAGACTTTGTCTTAAAAAAATAAAAAGGGAGGGCTGGGTTGTGGCTCAGAGGTAGAGCACTCGCCTAATAAGTGTGGGGCCCTGGGTTCAATTCTCAGCACCACAATAAAAATAAATAAATAAAATTATTAAAAAAAAAATAAAATAAAAAGGGAGCTGGGGTTGTATCTCAGTGGTAGAGCTCTTGCCTAGCATGTGTGAAGTACTGGGTCTGATTCTCAGCACCCATATAAATAAATAAAATAAAGCTTCATCAACACCTAAACCATATACATATACATATACATATATATACATATTTTTTTTTAGGGTTGGAAATGTGGTTCAGTGGTAGAGTGGCCCTGGGTTTCATCCTTAGTACCAAGGGGAGTGGGTTAAAAAAAAAAAAAGGAGACCTTATGGTATCTCCTGGGCTGGCTCTCCCAGAAAGCAGCTGTTCCTAGAGCCTGCTGGGTCTTTGTCCACGGGCTCCCTTCTCACTGATGACCCCATGTCTATCCCCGTGATCATTCAGGCTGGACAGGGTTGCTCTATGCTGGGGTGTGCAGGGGTATGCTGAACTCAGAAAGGTGAGTTGCTGTGCCCGCACTGAGGGTTTGGTCTGGGTTTGCTGCTGGATCCCTTTTGTGTCTTTAGCTGCATGCTAATTCTCTTGAAGGCAGGCACTCTGTCCCTGATGCTTCTGCCTTCCTTACCTGTCAGGGAACAGACCCTCCCCAACTATGATGTTTGTGGAATGTGTGAAAGCAAATCAGTGAAGCCAAGATAGGTAGGTATGATGGTTAGTGTCAAGTGTCAATTAGACTGCATTAAGGAAAACAGAAAAGTGGAAAAGCATACTTTTGTATGGTGTCTCCAGAGGAGTAGACTAATTGGGGAAGGTCTGCTTTCAATGTAGGCAGGCACATCAGTCAGGTGGAGGCTCAAACCAAAAAAGTAGAAGAAAGGCGATTTCCTGACTCTCCTGGAGCTACAGCTCTTTTTCTCCTGGCTTTGGACCAGGACTCCAGGTTCTGCAGCCTCTAGACTCCAGTTAGCCCCACTCCAGCCTTTGGCCTGGGCCTCAGAGGTACACCACCAGCTTTCCTGTTTCTGAGGCCTTCAGACTTGTACTGAGCCATGCTACCAGTTTCCCAGGGTCTCCAGATTGTAGAGAGTCTACTGTGGGACTGCTCAGCCTCCATGATCACAGGAGTGAATTCCCCTCATTAATCCCCGTCATCCATCCATCCACCATGTTGGTTCTGTCTCTCTGAAGCACTCTAATAATACTTACAAACCTTAGTCTTGGAGGACAGCATGGTCAAGGAGGTGCCAGTCAGGCGTACTCCAGGAGGAAGGGAGCCAGCGGTGGGAAGAGGAGGCAAGGGGGCTGGACCTACAGGATGCTCCAGGATACCTCCATGAGAGTCAGCATCCACAAGACGACACAGGCTGAACCCGTATCTGCACTGAGGGGGGCTGAGGACAGGTGGGTACTTGGAGGCCCCAAAGGGCCCTGTCCTTAAGGTCAGGGTCTGTACCTGGTCTGACGGTCACAGGAGTCTTGCAGAATCTGTGGAGGCCACCTTGGCCTCTGAACTCTGTGTCCATATCCAGGGCCCTTCTAGAACAACTGACCAGGAAACTCCTGTTCATGGCTTACCTGGAGCTAAGTGCTCAGGTAGGGTCATGCCAAAGTGAGGAGACAAATGGAACAAATCCTTAGAGAAAGGAGTGGCTGCAGGCCAAGTTCCGCCTGCCCAGGGACTACTTCAGCGTCTTGTTCTTTTCATCTGAGCTAGTCTGCACAGGTCATCACTCCTGGTCACTGAGAACTCTGCTTGGAGAGGTAACTCTAGGCAGTGGTTTTCAAAGCATGATATGCAACACCTAGGGGTCCACAAGGCCAAAGCCATTGTCGTAAGTCAGTACCATCTTTACTCTCATCTTCTCACACAGTTCCCAGAGGTCATGAGGTATGCTGTCCCCTGGGAGACTCACTGCAGGACCTGACATGAGAATCTAGCTGTCCTCTATTTGGTCAGACACTAAAAAGGTTTGTGCAAATGTCAAAGGAAGCTGGGCACGGTGGCATATGCCTGTAATCCCAGTGGCTTGGGAGGCTGAGGCAGGAGGATCTCAAGTTCAAGAGTAGCCTCAGCAACTCAGTGAGACACTGTCTCTAAATAAAACATAAAAAGGGCTGGGGATATGGCTTAGTGGTTAAGGGCCCCTGGGTTCAATCCCCAGTACCAAAAAGAAGTCAAATGATACCTTTCTTTTTCACTCAATTATTTTCGTTTTGGAAAACATGGTTGTTGCCATAATCATATATTATTACATCAATACGTAGGATGTGGGCTGGGGATGTGGCTCAGTGGTAAAAGTGGTTGCCTGGCATGCATGAAGCAGTGGGTTCAAATCCCCAAGCACCCCCAAAAAAACAAAACAAAACAAAAAACACATAGGATGTTTTGGGATTTGTGTGTTTTGTTGTTTTGTATTGTACTAGGGACTGAACTCAGGGCCTTGCACAGCTTTACACCCAGTTCTTATTTTTGAGAAAATCTTGCTAAATTGCCTAGGCTGGCCTCAAACTTGTAATCCTCCTGTCTCAGCCTCCAGAGTAGCTTAGAGGCATGTGACACTGTGCCTGGTAATGTTTGTTTTTCTTAAGTTAAAACTATTTTAAAATTTTCTCAGCTTTAGTCTCTAGCATAATAAGCATTGATAGATATAACCCATGCTAACAAAAGACTCTCTGGGGTCCTCAATAATTTTTAAGACTAAAAAGGGGTCCTGAGACTATGCAATAGGGACTGCTGCCCAAGCAGGTGTGGCCAACACAGTGGAAGGGCTCTTTGGGCACTCTGGTTACAAGGCACCCCAGAAGTCTCTCCAGTGATCTGAGATACTGAGGTGCATTTTCAAGGGCTGCGGTGGCAGAACCAGGACCTTTCTTCATCTGACCTGAACTTTCTGGTCACCCCCATGACTCTATTCACTCTTCTCTCAAGCTAACTCTAACCCTTGCGTACAGGTTCCAGTGTACCCATCTGCATGGGAATCCCACCTACAGGCGCTGAGGGAGGAGTCCTATGAGCACTACAGGTTCAGAACTACTTGCTCTCTGTCTCTAGCAGAGGGTGAACTCCTTTAGGGCAAGAGCCTGTCTTCTTGTTTATTTCCACATCGCTGAGCTCTGGCACTGCAGGGCCTGCTCAGTGGCTGAGGCACGGGTCTGCACCAGGTCTGATGGTCATAGGATCTTGCAGCACCTGAGGAGACCATTTCATGCAGCTGTTCCGTACTTGATTTACTTAATGACTGAATCAATGGATAGCCCTTGCCTTTGCCGCTTATGTTAGCTTTCTGAGAAAGGGGTTACCTGAAACAGGTTCCCTCCTCTGACTGCCTTTCTCTGATCCTCCAAGACTAAGCTGAGCCTGTTTCAGTTTCCTGGAGGTGACCAGTGTCCTCCTTCAGCATTCCTGCATCAAGCACAGTGCTGGAGTTTCACAACACTCAGCCAGGCTGAGTTGGGAATACAAGATATGTGCTCCCTGGCAGTCAGCGAGATTCATTCTTCCAGATTTCCAGGGGAGGGATGACAGACAAGAGGCAAACTTCATCAGGGAGTCATGTGGCCCATGTACTCACTGCCAGAGTTCTGCAGGTTCAACTACCTACCGCCAGGACCCAGGTGATTGCCATGGAACATTTCAGAGGTGGGCTTAAGTCTCCAACACCAATCCCTCAAATGTGCCACAGTAAATGCTTGGGAGCCCAAGGACACGTGGCCTTTATCAGGACTTGCTCAGAATTAGCTTTCTGAGTGGCTGCATCTTAGGAAACTAGGTGTGAGAATGCTTTAAGAAAAGGCCTCACTTGGGAAACAATGTGGACAACAGAAGGTGGGCTCTGCAGCCCAGAGTAAATCATCTCACCTCTCTGTACTCTGGCTCTTTCCTCAAGCGGTGCCATTGGGGGAGGGAGGAAGGGGAGATGTGAGACTGTATCCACTCTGGGTTTGCAAAGTCAGGTTCTACCTCCCACTTACCTTCCTTTTCCTGGGGAGCCTTCTAGAGCCCTGAGGAAGGGAGGAGGTTAACAGGCTGGGTGGGGGGAGGAGCAAGAGGAGTTAGGAGAGGGAGGAGGATGCTATATTCTTTGGAAGGAGTAGGAGAAGAAGTCAGCCTGAAAATGTGCATAAAGGGGATCCAAAGAGGGTACTGGGCCTAGCAAGGAGAGACCTGGACCCAGGGGATGGAGGGGCGTGGCGTGGCGTGGCGCTAAGGGGCGTGGCCCGAGGGCGAGGGCGGGGCGAAGTGGGAGAGAGGTGCGGGGAGTGGGGGAGGGAGGAAGGAGCGGGGCTGGGGAGAGGCGCGGCGAGAGGGCGAGGCGGAGTTCGGGGGAAGAAGGGGCGGAGCGGGAGGGAGGGGACGCGGCGGGTTGGGGGGAGGGGAAGGAAGGGGCTGGGACGGGGCCGGGGGCAGGGACGAGGGACGGAACGGGGCGAGGACGGGGAGGGAGAAGTGGTGCCCGCCCGCGTCCGCTCACCTCCAGCGCCTGGCCCAGCTCCAAGTCGAAGGTGACCACGCACACGCACTCCAGCCAGGCGGAGAAACGCGCCCAGGGCGCCGCCGGGGTCCTCGTTGCGCGGTTCGCGGACGAGGGCCCGGCCGCACCGAGCACGCCGCCAGCCCGCCGAGGCCCGGCACCCGCCCGCGCCTCCATGGTGGCGGGTCTTCCAGCCGCGCGTTGCGGAGGAACGCGGGCGCTTGCCCAGCCCGCTTCGGAGCAGTCGAGCGGCCTTCGCCGACCAGAGCGGCCCGTGGCGGCCGTGTGCGCCCCCTGGCGCTTGAGGCTCGCCCCAGCAAGACGGGCCCGCGCAGGCCGACTTCCGCGGAGCCTGCGCCCCAGCGCCCTAACCCTGCACGCCTCTCCGGCCGCCACGCTCAGCCTCCGCTAGCTGGTTCGCGGGGACGCGGGACTCGGCAGCGCAGGCCGGGCTGCAGGAGCAGCCCCACGTCTGTAATGGCTCTCACGCAGCGGGCCCCGTGGGAACGTCAGGTGGCGTTCAGTCTCCGGAACACATGCCAATGGAAAATAAATTAATGGCCCACTCTTATTTTTTCCTTTTTCCGTCCTCTGGCTTTTACTGGCTTTGACCTACAAGTGATGCACATACAGTTCGTAGCCACATGGCCTCAACTAGGGAAATGTGGGCATATGGCCATTGGTGAGTCGGAAAATTGTCCCTTATTATTACCCTATTTCATTTAACTCAGGATGCCATTATTTTGTAAATAAGAAAACTGCTAGCAACTACGTGGCTATGGTTAACGAACCACACTCATTTGCCCACCTGCTGTATGCCAATCGCTCAAAGGACAGGTTTTGCAAGTTTTTTCAGAATATCGCCAAATGTGGAGGTGGGAGAGCAAGCCTCGGATCCTGCCTCGTCCAGGATAGAGTTTGGGGTGGGGGTGGCTCACGGACTGAAACGGTGGAGAAGAGATTGGAGATTAGGAAATAATCAGTAATTTGTATGTGATCAAACTTGGTCTTACCATCGACCACATGTCAGAGGTGTTATTTGTACCTCTAAAATTGGTGTTTTGTTTCCCCTGTTGGCAGTATTGGAGATTAAACCCGGGGGCCTTGCACGTGCTAGGCATTGAACCACTAAGAGGCATCCCCAGCCCTTTTTATTTTGAGACAAGTGCTCAGTGAAAGGAAAGTGACCACAACACTCGGAGTGACCAAGAGATCTTTTTGCAGCAGTGCAACAGAGGAGAAAAGAGAGAAAGAGAGAGAGGAGAGAGCATGCGTGCAAGGGAGACAGATCAAGAGAGAGAGACAGAGCAAGAGAGGGTTTTAGATGGGCAGAGAGTCTCTGGAGCCAGAGGAGTTGGTCATGAGTTGTAGGTCTCTGTCTTGGGCATCAGGGCTGGTAGTCTTAAAGAAGTGGTTGACTGACCAACTGGTTGGTGAATTTGTGTATCTGATCTTGCAGGAACTTCTGTAGGCAATTTAACATACATGGTCCTATTAGGAGAAACATAGACAGGACTAATAGGGGTCCTGTGGGGGGGGGAGCCAAGGCCATACTTGACTGAACATTCCCCATGGAGCCTGTTGGCCTAGTTGCTGTCTCCTCTTTTGTAGCTGTTCTTGTCTTTCATTACTACTAGGAATGACTTTTCAGTTTAACTGGTTTTGGTAGGTGTTTAAGATCAAGCTGGTCAAAATTGACTTTGTTTTTATCTATTGTTAAGAGTCAGCCGAGTTCCTATATGGGTCACTCGTGGGGGAACTTGAGAGCAGCTTCTTAGTTCTGCTAGTGCTATTTGCGCTAGGATGGGTCCAGGTCTTGCTTGACCATGTGGCTTCTCTTGGAAGCATCAGGGATGTCTCCTGTCTCCAATGAGCCTCCTATTCACAGCAAGTGCACTGATTAGCTTTTCATTCTCCAGTGGTCTCATTAATCTCCCTGATCAGGAGGTTATGTGGCCCAGAGTTGCAAAGTTCTTTAGAGAAGTTCCCCGTTCCCTGGATTTCAGACTGACTCAGAGGGCCAGAGCCAAATATTGGTTTTCTTGGCCATTTTAATTTAACTTTAAGTCTTGATCATAAACATCCAGCAAAGTCAGTTTCACCTTAAATTGAGAGTACTGGGCTTTAGCTGAAGTCTGGCCTACTTTGGAGTCATTCTGACATATAGTAAGATGGGAGGCAGAGCCTTATCTCAGGTAAGGCTAAGATTTATAAATATTAGGTAAAGTGTTCTATTATTGAACTGATCTTTGTTTTTAAATATCATTTTATAAAGTTTACATATATTGTTGCTTGATGTCACATGAATACTAATACAATATGATATTGCATTTAAATTGTACCCAGTTTATAGAACTTTATATTAATCTTATTGATAACAGGTCCAGTTATAGAACATTAAGTGATATAAATAAATCTCCAATATGTTATTTTTATAAGTCTAAAATTCCATGAAACCTTTTAGAGAACACCAGCTTGATATAATTTTTTAAAAGCTTCTATCTTAATGAATTATATACCTGGAAAATATGAACACATTTAATACACAAAGAAGAGTAATAGTACCACAATTACATTGATGATTTATATTAATCAAGTTTAGCTCTTAAAGAAATAACATATTACAATATTGCAAAATAACAGTTGTTGTTTAACCATAGGTTGTATACACAGACTTTCTTTAGCACTTACTTACACCTATATAGCCAATGTACACAGACCTTCTTTATCACTTGCTTAAACCCTCTTGTTTACTTAATAGACTCTCTTATCCAGAAACACATTTTTCTTCTAGAACCTTCTAATTTCTCTTTCCAACAGCTACAAAAAACCTTCTAATTTTCTTCTAGAACCTTCTAATTTCTCTTTCCAACAGCTACAAAAGAGGAGACAGCAACTAGGCCAACAGGCTCCATGGGGAATGTTCAGTCAAGTATGGCCTTGGCTCCCCGCCCTCACAGGACCCCTATTAGTCCTGTCTATGTTTCTCCTAATAGGACCATGTATGTTAAATTGCCTACAGAAGTTCCTGCAAGATCAGATACACAAATTCACCAACCAGTTGGTCAGTCAACCACTTCTTTAAGACTACCAGCCCTGATGCCCAAGACAGAGACCTACAACTCATGACCAACTCCTCTGGCTCCAGAGACTCTCTGCCCATCTAAAACCCTCTCTTGCTCTCTTGCTCTGTCTCTCTTTCTTGATCTGTCTCCCTTGCACGCATGCTCTCCTCTCTCTCTCTCTCTCTTCTCCTCTGTTGCACTGCTGCAAAAAGATCTCTTGGTCACTCCGAGTGTTGTGGTCACTTTCCTTTCACTCAGTAAGTTGCCTAGGTTGGCCTGGAATTTGGGATGATCCTGCCTCAGCCTTCTGAGTAGCTGGGATTACAGACATGAGCCACCAGATACCCACCTTTAAGTTGGTGATTTTTGTAGTTGCTTAAAAGCAAGTAACTTGAGAAGGTAAAGGAACTAAGAAGGTGAAGAGGCTTAGGGTGTAGCTCAGTGAAAGATGGCTCGCCTAGCATTTGTGTACACCCTGTGTTCATCCCCAGCACCGGAAAAAGAAAAAAAAAAAAATCAAGTGGGTTAAGTCTAGAGAGTTATCAGGTTTCCCCTTGGCATTATGATGAGCTATCAAATGTTTTCACATGTTCTTACAGAAAAGATGACCGTGAATGTTCAATGACTGTCAATTTACTGCACAAAATCTACATCTGTAATTAATGTTATATCCTTACTATTCTGTACATTTATCCATACCTCTATCCATCAGTCATTCTTGTTTTCAGATGACTTTCAATCAAGACAATTGCAACATTCATACATGCACCCCTAATGTTTAGTAGAGTTTCTTCCACATAGTAGAAGCTTAATCTTTGATAAAGGGATAATTAGGTATTTGTCAAATCTAATGTGTTTATCATTAACTAGTATTTTTTTTTCTTCTAGGTAAAATGCATGATGGGGGTGGGTACTGGGTATTGAATCCAAGGGTGCCTTACCACTGAGCTTCATCTCTAGTCCTTTTTATTTTATTTTGAAACAAAATCTGACTAAGTTGCTCAACATTTCAATCCCCCTGCTTCAGCCTCCTGAGTCACTGGAATTATATGCATGGGCCAGTATACCTGACACAATGCATGAATCTTAAATAGACCATTCATTGAGTTTTGACAAATGAACACATGTGTAACCCAAAACTCTAGCAAGATACAGAACACCATGCTGGGTATGGCGGCACATGGCTGTAATCCCAGTGACTAGGGAGGCAGAGGCAGGAAGATCAAAAGTTCAAGGCTGTCCTCAGCAATTTATCGAGGTCCCCAGAAAGTCAGTGAGACACTCTCTTAAAATAAAAACAAAAAGATACAGAACATTATCATCACTCTTTCTAGTACCTCTTTCTAGTCTCTACACCCAGACCCCATCATTCTGATTTTTGCACTATAGATTATTTTACCATCTACCAGAACTTAGAAGATGGAATCATACAAACTGAAATCAAATCCCATGCATGTGTGAGTTTGTCTGAATGAACCCAACTACTACACGTATAACTAAAAAGTTATGATTTTAATGGAGCCATATAGCGGGTAATCTTTGGTGTCCGGCTTCTTTTCAGATTTGTCCCTTTTTGGTGCATTTCATTTGGGGGGGGGCGGCCGGGGCACTATTTATTAAACTCAGGGGCACTTAACCACTGAGCCACATCCCCAGCCCTGATTTGTATTTTATTTAGAGACAGGATCTCTCTAAGTTGCTGTAGGGCCTCAATAAGTTGCTAAGGCTGGCTTTGAACTCTTCGTGATCCTCCTGCCTCAGTCTCCTGAGCCACTGGGATTAAAGTCATGTGCCACTGTGCCTGGCTCTAAACCAATTTTGAATTCCTGAAATAAACCCACTAGTCTTTAGTAGATAATCTTTATGATATGTTGCTGAATTTTGTTCTAGAGCTCTTTGTTCATTCTTGTGGATTTGAGTGAATTCTGGTGTCATTTCCTTTTAGCTTGAAGAACTTTTTTAGAATTTCTAGTAGGGCGAGAATTTGTTCATTTCCAGGGCTATTTATTTATTGGTTTTGGGGATCTAATCTAGGGCCACTTTACCACTGAGCTACATCCCCAGTCCTTTTTTATACTTTATTTTGAGACAGGGGCTCACTAAGTTGCTGAGGCTGGCCTCAACTTGCGATCATCCTGTGTCAGCCTCCCAAGTTGCTGGGATTACAAGTGTGTGCCACCATGTCAACTTGCCAGGGCTTTATTTTAAGAGTAAATTTCATTAATCAATTAATTTGTTGGTTGTATGGTGCTGGGAATTGAACCCAGGGCCTTGTACATGCGAGGCAAGCATTCTACCAGCTGAACCACATCCCCAGACCTATCCAGGGTTTTTTGTTTTTATTTATTTATTTTAAAATATTTTTTTTAGTTGTAGATGGACACAATATCTTTATTTATTTATTTTATGTGGTGCTGAGGATCGAACCTAATGCCTCACACATGCAAGGCAAGTGCTCTCCCACCGAGACACAACCACAGCCTGCCAGGGCTTTTTAATTAATTATTTATCTATTTTTAATGCAGGATACTGCCCAACTGCCAAAAACTCAACCTTCTAAAATCTGTTGATGTCAATTCACATGAAGAGTAATCAAGTTGCCCTACATGTGCCACTCACTACAAAAGCCCTTTTTTTTTTCTCTCTTTTTGTCCTAGGGACTGAACCCAGGGCCACACCATCATTGACAGGCTTTACTTTTCCTTCAGCATTCTGAACATTATTTTACGACCCTTATGGCCTCCATTGCCTCTTATGAGACCTCAGTGGTTAATTGTACTGTAGTCCCCTTTATGTGATGAGTCATTTCTTTCCTGCCACTTTCATGATATTCTTTGACATGTGGCAATCTGATCGTGGTGTATGTAGGTGTGACTCTCCTGTGTTCATTCTCTGTGGGGTTTTGGTGCCTGGGCCTGTGTCTAGTTGTATTGTGTGGCTCTTGAGGAAGGACAAGACAGATCACAGCTAGTCTACTCTGGTGGTGCTCCAGAGGCAGCATAAATCTTATATCACAGCTTTGCCTTTTCAATTTATTGGTGAATAACTTGGTATTTGATATTCTTAGTGATAGAGTTCCTTTTCTTTGATCCTTCTGTGTCAGAAATAGCTGGCTTTGTTCTAGCCATTCTGTGTATGCTGCAAGGTAGTTAAAGAACCATACATACAAACTATGTCTGGCGACCAGTTATAGAAACAAGGAATGTATTAGTTTTGCATATTTTCTCAATCCTTGTTATATTATATATTTTCACATACTAATCACTTTTCTCCTTTTCATTTTAAAAAATATATGTGTTTCTAGAGGTTAATTTCACTATTTAAGTGTTAACGTAAGAGACTTCTCAGTGGGACAGCAACAGCATTTTAGGAGTATTCAAAACAGCCAGTGATAGATATACTGCCTATTGTGAATGTGCATATCTTCCTATTAGGGGAAGAATGAGGATTTTCTTCACTTGCAATAAAATAAAAGTATCTGGTCAGATGAAAATACAGAGTTGTTTACTTGCTGCATGGAAGTACAAACGTATGAAAAGATGCATACGGAGCTGACTAAACCAGTTTTCCACCTGTTCTCCTCACCTCCATGATGTGAATTTTTGCCAGTAGCGGTTTGGAGAATCCCTGCAGGAGGAACAGACTTCTTGGTTCCCATGTGCATTCTTTCTCTTCGTGATCCTATTGTGTGACCACCAGTGGCATATGGGCCCATCCACTTGCACTTACCTGCATCAAGTTTTGGTGCTGTACTGTGGATAGCTGGCCACGGAGCTTCAGTGGCATCCCAAGTGGATTCCCAGGGAGTCGCAGGCATCTCAGTGATAGGTTTCCAGCCTTGGCCCCCCTGTGCCTTGGAAGGTGGACTCCTGCCCACCAAGCTCTGCTCTGCAGCTGCATATAACTCTACCCCAGGGCAACCAAGGGAATGTCAGATGGGCTGCATTCACACTTCTCTAACAAGAAGTGACCTCCCATTTGGGGGAAGAGATCCTCTTCCAAGTTTTCTCTTTCGTGAATACAGTTGTTTTTATTCACTTACAATCTCATTATTGATAATAATATTTATGTCAAGCTTTCTCTGTTGAAATCATTGTGTGGTTTCTGTCTCCTTAGGGATTCTGATGCTGATACCATTGCAGAGGAGTAAAGAACAAGCAGGAATAGGGGATTTGAAGAGTGTGTGTGATGCAGGCTTGAGGTTTGAAATAGGATTTCCAGGGAAGTGAGGGGCAATGGATGCAAGTCAGCAAGCATACCAATAACTAGGGGGAAGAGCATGCAAAGATACAGGGACAGTGAGAGCAAATGGCCTGTGCAGGAGGTTATTATGATAAGCCAAATGAAAAAGGGAATAGTAGGGGAGATAAAATCACACAAGGGCAACAATGAGGGCTCTGACTTTCATCCTATGTGAGGCAGGAGCCCCTGGGGGCAGAGGTGTGAACTGACCTATTTTAACTGGATCCCTTTGGGTGCCATGCTGTGCTGACTTGACCTACTGCAGGTGCTCCAGGACAGAAGTAGGGAGTCTCTGGGAAGGCTGTTGTGAGTCAGGTGAGGGAAACTGATCTTGTAACAGCACGTTCTTAGTAGAGTGCTGGCTACAGGTTTGCTGATTAATCTAGTGTGGGTGTGAATGGAGGTGGACTCCTGCCCACCCAGGGACTCTGAGCACAGGAAGAGTATCAAAGGCAGGCAGACAGTTGCACGTTTATGGCTATGGGACATCTGCATCTGTTGCCCCGTCCCAAGACCCCATTTGGCAGCTCGGCCCAGCAGCACCTCCAATTTATGCAGGGAGGGGCCGGTGAGCAAGGGCAACTCACAGCAAGACAGCGCCAGACAACCGGGGCGTCCTCTTCCCGGTCCACAGGCTGTCGCGTTTTAACCTCCATTTCTTGGAAGCTAACTCCAGGGAACTCCGCTGCTCGGTCCGGGTCAGGCTGTTTCAGACCTCGCGTCCAAGGAGTTGCGGTCAAAGTGCCCCAACGTGAGTGGCCATGAGAAGAGACCCCAGGCCACTTGTGGGTTATGGTGCGGCTCCTCTTGCATTAGAAAGTGCAGTATCCCGGGCTGGGGTTGTGGCTCAGTGTTAGAGTGCTTGCCTGGCATGCATGAGGCACTGGGTTCGATCCCCGGAACCACATAAAAATAAATAAAATAAAGGTATTGTGTCCATCTACAATTTTAAAAAAGAAAAGAAAAGGGGGCTGGTGTTGTGGCTCAGGGGTAGAGCGCTCGCCTTGCACCTAGCACGTGCAAGGCGCTGAGTTCGATCCTCAGCACCACATAAAAATAAATGAAATAAAGGTATTGTGTCCAACTACAACTAAAAAATAAATATTTAAAAAAAAGAAAGTGCAGTCTCCCAAGCAAAAGTTAATTAAGCTTGAGAAAGGCGCACCTCGCCCCGCAGAAACCCGCGAAGCGGGAGCTCTTAGCCCAGCGGGTCGGCGCCTCCCCCGCCGCCAGGAACCACGCCCGGTCAATCGAAACCACGCCCCATATCTCCGCCTACCCAGGCCCCGCCCCGCGCGGCTCCGCCCAGCAGTGCGCGCGCCCGAGCGAGGCCCCGCCCCGGAGCGCGCTCGTCGCCGCCATTTTGGAGCGACCGGAGCGGCGCCCGCGGCCCCGAGGCGGCCCCGAGCCCGTCCCGAGCCGCTGCGGCCGCGCCAGTGTCCCGAGGCGCCGCGCTCCGGGCCGGGCTCATGTGCGTGCGGCCCGCCTCAGGCCGCCCGGGCTTCGCCTCCGCCCGCGCCCCGCCCGGGCCTCCGAGGAGCCGCCGCCACCCCCGGCCCGCGGGGCAGGTGAGTGCGGCCGCGCGCGCTGAGGCCCGGCGTGGAGGGACCCCGCCGGCGGCGCCCGGGCAGTTGCCCCCTCGGGTCGGCCCGCGGGCCCGCTGCCGGCAGTACCCGGTCAGCCCGCCCGCCGCTAGTGTCGTCCCCTCTCCGCCGGTCGGCGCCCGCTTGTCAGTGACCGTCCCCTCCGCCTGGCAAGGCCCCCCTGCCCCTGCCCCGTGTGGCCCCACCGCGCCAGGCCCTCCGCAGCTGGCGCCGCTGGCGGTGACCCGTGTTGTCGGCAGGGCCAGACCTGTCACGACACCCCGTGCCGTCGGTGGTCTTTGCCTCTGTGCCTTTCGCAGCTGTCAGTGGCCTCCTGGTCGGCAGCAGCCCGGTGTCTCCCCTTCCTGCTACCCCGTCCCTTCCCTCTGCGCCTGTCGAGGTGGGTGGGCCCCGGATGGCAGCGCTCCCGCACCCTTCGTGTTTTACACTCTTCCCGCCAGTGCCCTGCCTGCTGCGCGAGACCCACCCGTCAGTGCCCCCCATCATCACTCCTCTTTCCCAGCATCCCCCATATTAAGGGTCTAGATATCACCCACCGGTCGCTTCTGTCATCTTCTCTGGCCTATCTCCCTACCCCTAACTGCCCCATTCTTTTCTCAATCCCCATCATCTTTTCCTTCATACCTGTCACCTTCCTCTATGCCTCTTACTGGGCTCCCCCTGCCCTTTTTTTTTTTAAGGTACTCAGGATTGAACCCAGGTGTGCTCTACCACTGAATTACATCCCAGTCCTTTTTATTTTGAGATAGGGTCTTGCAAAGTTGCTGAGGTTCGCCTCAAATTTGCAGTCCCCCTGCCTCAGCCTTCCAAGTTGCTGGGATTTACAGGCCTCCCCCATTGTGCCCAGAGCTGAGCTCCCTTTGTGGTCCACCCCCACTTCCCCACCTGCTACTTTGTATCTGTAGCTTACCATTCACTTGTTACTGACGGCTCCCAGTTGCTATTGATCCCTTGCCCTGTCACCACCAGCCCTCCAAGTCCATCACTTCCACTTTGGTCCCTGTCTCTCATTGCACCCCCCCCCCCATTCTGACCCTGTACCCTTTTCCTTTCTGGGACTTGCCCCCCCATCACCATCCCTGGTAACTGCTTCTTGACATGGTGCATCACCCATTGCTAATACTCCGCCATCACATTTCTCGATACCCTTTCCTTTCTGTCTTCCCTTTTGACTTCCCCAGTTCTCATGTCATCCAAGCCCTGGAGGCGAGAAGAATCTAGCAATGAGAACAGTGGGAAGATAGAGCCTTCCAGGATGAGAGGACAGCAGGTGTAAAAACTGAGACATGAAAGGGCTGAATCCCCTCCAGGAATCAGGATAAGATTAATGTAGGGAGGGTAGGGGTGAGACAGGAGCCTGGGTGGAAGAGTTGGTCTTCTACTCAAATTATTTCTTTCAGGCATTAGTGAAGTGTTAGACTGAGTCCGAGTTATGGGGAACCCTAGTTGTAGATTGAGTTGAGGAGTGCCACAATCATAAGGATATGGCATATGAATAGGAGGAGAGTATAGTTGTGGTGTGGTGGTGACTTAGACCTCAGTAGTTATCTTAGGGAGATATTTTGGGAATTGAGCTGTTGGAACTTGATAGATTAGAAGAGAAGTGTAAGGCCAAATGCTGTGGCATATACTTGTATTGCAGGGCACAGTGGTGCACACCCGTAATCCCAGTGATTTTAGAGGCTGAGACAGGGCAATCATAAGTTCAAGGCCAGCCTTGGCAACTGTGTCTTGAAATAAAGAATAAAATGGTAAATAATAAAATGGTCTGGAGGTGTAGCTCAGTGGTACATTGTCTCTAGTTCAGTCCTTAGTATAGTAAGGAAAAAAGAAAGAAAAGAGGTGTGAGAGAATGAGAGGACTGAGCATGATTTCTAGGATTCCTGATGGAACAAATGGATAGATAGTGTCACTGATTCCTGAAACGGGGAAGTTAGATTGGGGTAATGATAGGCATCGGGGAGCTATTATATGTTGGAGTAGTGAGAGAAGTCCAAGGGCCATTAGGGAGAAAGCATCTTGCGGAAGAATCTGGAACTCAAAGACCAGGCTGCAAGTATACAACTTTAAGCAGGAGGCTAATGTTTAAAGCCTTGGAAATGACTAGTTACTTAAAATCTCTCTCACACACAGCAGAATTATTGAGCATTATTATATGCCATTGCATTAAATGCTACATGTGAATCATTTCATTTAATTCTCAGAGTAACCCTAGGACATAGAAAGTGTGATTTCCCTGTTTCATAGATGAAGAGACTGAAATATACAACAAATAAGTGATAGAGCCAGGATCTATATCCCAAGCAGTTTGACTGAAAATCTCCCCTGCCTTTTTTATAGGTTAAAGGCTAACTTTTAGAATATTTTGTTTTTAAGATGTTTGAATAAAAATAACAATGGCTGATTATGTACTGGGTACTCTGTGAATTTGTGTGTGAATATGTATGTATGCTCTAGTAAATATTTGTAAAAACAGGCCCAGGCACATTTTAAAGTACATTATCCATATCTCATGTACTCTTTAAAACAATTTAGCAATGTAGTTACGCTTGATATTCTTAATAATATTCATGTAAGAATACTGAGGCACAATAAAATAAGTAAAATGTCTGAGGTCAAAATAAACCAGAGAGCCAGTACTCAACTCAGATGGCCAGTCTCCACAGCCTGAGCCCTTTCACTGTTGCCTCCTGTGAGTAGCTCATGCACATGGTCATCTCAACTAGAATTTGAAAGGTACCAAAGTGAATACATGAAAGCAGTTCTCTCACCTGGTCCCTCAGCTATCCTCTTCCTTTTCTCCAGGCATCTGATGTTGCTATTTTCCTTTTTATCCTTCTAAAGATAGCTTATTAATAGACAGTCCTGTGCATATGTGTGTGAGAAAGAGATACACATTTTACAGAAATGAGTAGCATGTGTTTTTCACCCACTATAAATATGCCACTGTCTTCTGAGTGGTCAGGGTCTTGGCTCCTCTTGCTCTCTCCTGCCTGAGAGTCCCTCCCCACATACACTGACATCTACTTACGCTCCTGGTCTGGCCTGGATGCCACAGGAAGCCTCCACTTCACCCCCAGGGCACAGGATGTTTTATTTGTTCCATTGCTCTTGCTTAGCTCTCCCTTGTAGGCTCGTGAATGTGTCTATTTCTGAGTTCCAGGATGCATTGTATGCCCATGAGAATTAGGTGTTATGCCCCTGAATATACAAGACCAAATATTTCATACAATGTTCTGTACTCACTTTATATATAATACTTCTTACCTACTTTTGTGTACATGCTGTGTGACAGTTGCATGGACCTGTGATTACCAGTCTGAGGCCAACAAATCTCAGTTTGATGTATAGGTTAAACAAAGATTTAAAATTGTTTTTACACACATTATAAGGGTTTAACTAGGTCATCTCATGCTCATTAGGAGGCCCGGTTGGCAGCTTTATATAGTTTTAAAATTAAAATCCTAAATAAACTAAATATGGTCAGTCTTTCGATAATAAAATTGTTTTTGGTGAAAAGATTAAAAACTGTTCTATTTGGTCCTTAGTGGGAAAATATTTTTAATTAGTGTATATACAAGTTATTGTCATTAATTTAGAAGTTATCTATTAAATAACAAATTTTCAATATTGTCAAAAAAATGAGTAGTGTATTCCATACATTCTTCAGTATCTCACTTTTTTGTGTGTATGGTTCTGAAGATAAATGTAGGGCCTTATAAATGTTAGACAAATGCTCTACCACTGAGCCATATTCCTAGTCCAGTATCTTACTTTTTTAAAAGTCATGTTGGAAATCATGTGATATCTGCATATAGCGAGCAGCTCTCATTTGTTTCTGTGTTTTTGCAGAACTGAGAATGCAACCTAGGACTTTCCTTGCACAGGCGAAGCAAGTACTCTACTGCTGAGCTGCTTTCCCAGCCCAGCTCTCATTTTTTTTTTTTTTTTGGTACTGGGGATTGAACTCAAGGGCACTCAACCACGAGCCACATCCCCAGCCCTATTTTGTATTTTTATTTAGAGACAGGGTCTCACTGAGTTGCTTAGTGCCTTGCTAAGTTGCCGAAGCTGGCTTTGAACTCACAATCCTCCTTGCTTCAGCCTCCTGCCTCAGCCCCAAGCCGCTGGGAGTACAGGCATGCACTACCACACTTGGCATTTTCATGTTTTTATTGTTGTTGTTACTGAGAATTGAACTCAGGGGCACTCAACCACTGAGCTACATCCACAGTCCTATTTTGTATTTTTATTTAGAGGCAGGGTCTCATTGAGTTGCTGAGGGCCTCACTAAGTTGCTGAGGCTGTCTTTGAACTCACGATCCTCCTGCCTCAGCTTCCTGAGCCACTGGGATTATGGGCTTGTGCTACTGCGCCTGGCTTTTCATGCGATCTTTTTTGCAGGGATTGAACCCAATTGTGCTTTACCATTGAGCTACATACCTAACCCTTTTTATTTTTTTTAATTTAGAGACAGAGTCTCACTATGTTGCTTAGGACCTCACTAAGTTACTGAGGCTGACTTTGAACTCGTGATCCTGCCTCAGCCTCCCCACCACTGGGATTATAGGTGTGTGCAACCACAACCGGTTATTTTTTATTTTGAGACGGGGTCTCACTAAGTTGCTTAGAGCCTCACTCTAAATTGCTGAAACTGTTTGTGAACTTGCAATCCTCCCGTCTCAGCCTCCTGAGCTGCTGGGTGTATAATATTTTATTTTGTTTAAAATATTGCATTTAGTGGCTGGGGTTGTAGCTCAGTGGTAGAGTGTTTGCCTAGCATATGTGAGGCACTGGGTTCCATTTTCAGCACTGTATATAAATAAATAAAATAAAGGTCCATCAACAATTTAAAAAATTTAAAAAATGTTGCATTTAAAAATTATCCAAGAATATTTGACATGCAGTAAAAGAGCAGATCTTTTTTTTTTTAAGGTACCGGGAATTGAACTCGGGCTCTTGAC